AAGTACAAAATATGACGGAATGAGCCTTTATGAATTGATCTTATTACTACTACTACTACTACTACTGCTACTACTACTACTACTGACTCTGTGAAGTGAACAGTTGGGGGCGTGAGGGGGGGGGGAGAGTGAGAAAGCCTGGGGCAAGATAGTGACACACCGAGTGACTGAGTGACCTTTTAAGGAGTAGATTGGTCGGTCAGTGGCATGTAGCTTGACCTTTAAAGCCTTTACTAATGGTTAGGTTAGGTTGCTTATGTCAGTCTGTCTCTCTCTCTCTCTCTCCCCATCTTGGTGCCAGTGAACGTCTAAGTCACCATTATCGGTCACCAAGTGTTGCATCATCACCAGCGGGGCCCTATCATGGTGAGTATGTGGTGACCTCTCTATTTAACGGTCCATATGATGAGGAATGTTCGCTATAACGAGGATCTCTCTCTCTCTCTCTCTCTCAAAGACTGATGAGGAATGTCCGCTAAATGAGATCTCTCAAGATCGATGAGGAACGTCCGCTATAACGAGGATCTTCAAAAGACCGATGAGGAATGTCCGCTGGCACGAGGATCTTCAAAGACCGATGAGAATGTCCGCTATAACGAGGATCTTTCTCAAAGACTGATGAGAATGTCCGCTATAACGAGGATCTCTCTGTAGCAGGCCACACACACTCTCTCAAAGACCGATGGAGAACAACTGCTATAACGAGGATCTCTTCAGCAGGCCACACACACTTCTCTCAAAGACTGCTATCAATACTACTAACCAACCAGCTACCACCACCACCACCATCATCACTACCAGCCAGCTACCACCATCGCGCCACTATCATCACTACCATCCAGTCACCACCATCGCACTACCACCACTATACCACCACAACCACCAGGGCTTGACCTTTACCCCGAGGATGATCACGTCTTGTGTTCTACCTCATCACACACACACACACACACACACACACACACACACACACACACACACACACACACCATCTGGTAAATTTCTCTTCATTCATTGAAAGAAATACTTCGCCAGAGGGAGGACCCGCTTCCTGTCGTGGCCGCGTGAGTATGGGGTGCTTACTCATACTTCGCCAGCACGAGCGATGAGTAGAGCCTGACGTTTACCCTTCTGTATTAACCTCAATCAGTCAGGTTAAAGAGGAAAAAGAACATGTATAGAGCCTCCTGACGCAGCCACCAAGGTATACAAGAGGTTGGTGGTTTATTGAGTAGCGGCCGACGTCATTATTCACACCCTGTTAGGTCCACATGCTGAGTGTTGGATGGTGAATAGGTGTCAGCATAGTGTGGTGGTGTGTCAGCATAGTGTGGTGGTGTGTCAGCATAGTGTGGTGGTGTGTCAGCATAGTGTGGTGGTGTGTCAGCATAGTGTGGTGGTAAAGTCAGCATAGTGTGGTGGTGTGTCAGCATAGTGTGGTGGCCAGCATAGTGTGGTGGTGTGGCTAGCATAGTGTGGTGTGTCAGCATAGTGTGGTGTGTCAGCATAGTGAGGTGGTGTGTCAGCATAGTGAGGTGGGTGTGTCAGTATAGTGTGGTGGTGTGTCAGCATAGGTGGTGTGTCAGCATAGTGTGGTGGTGTGTCAGCATAGTGTGGTGGTGTGTCACATAGTGTGGTGGTGTGTCGTATAGTGGTGGTGTGTCAGCATAGAGGTGGTGTGTCAGCATAGTGTGGTGGTGTGTCAGCATAGTGTGGTGGTGTGTCGTTATTAGTGTGTGGTGTGTCAGCATAGTGTGGTGGTGTCACATAGTGAGGTGGTGTGTCAGCATAGTGTGTGGTGCCGCATAGTGTTGAGGTGTGTGTCAGCATAGTGTGGTGGTGTGTCAGCATAGTGTGGCTACCTGGTAGGAGGCCATCAAGTAAAGCAACAGTAGCAGTAACATCATCAGTTCCTGTTGCTTAATGACAACAGGAGGAGCAACGGCAGTCAACAGGAAGGACATGCCATACTTAGAGTAGTATCGAACAACGGTAACAGCAGCAACAGAAACAACAGTAGCACTTCCTGTACCAACCTTACACACACACACACACACACGTCAAACTCTCACACATACACACACACACACCCGACAGCCTTCCACATACATACCTGACAGTTCCCACACACACACACACACACCTGTCAAACTCTCACACATATACACACACCCGACAGCCTTCCACACACATACCTGACAGTCCTCCCACACCTGTCAATATAGTCCTGGAAGCCACAGGTGTGGAGTTGTGTTCACCTGGACGCTGAAATACCTGAGGTGAAAGTCAGGTTGAACGTGTCTGGCTCAGTCTGGTGCAGTCTGTCTACAGTCTAATACACTTCTTGGCTCATTGGGATCACCCCTAGTTGGGCCTGTTCTCAGTCTAATCTCCTGAACTCACTCTGATGTTCTTAATCACACCTTTTGATCGCAGTCTGAACATCTGAACACCATTCATCACAGTCTTGGTACTATAGCACACTCTGGTCACCACCTGAGCTCAGTCTGTTCACCTGAGCTCACTATGAACACTGTCTAGGCACCTCTGGCTCAGTCTGACCACCTGAGCTCAGCCTGACCACCACCTAAGCTAAACCTGATCACCACCTGAGCTAAACCTGATCACCTGAGCCCAGCCTGATCACCACCTGAGCTCAGTCTGATCACCTGAGCCCAGCTTGATTACCACCTGAGCTAAACCTGATCACCTGAGCCCAGCCTGATCACCACCTGAGCTAAACCTGATCACCTGAGCCCAGCCTGATCACCACCTGAGCTAAACCTGATCACCTGAGCCTAGCCTGATCACCACCTGAGCTCAGCCTGAGAGACAAGTGACTCGTGGGTGAAGGATATACATAAATGGCAGTGGTTCCTTATAAGCTCCTTCAGGGATGTTTTCTCTCCCTCACTCACTCACTATCTCCCTCCCTCACTCACTATCTCCCTCCCTCACTCACTATCTCCCTCCCTCACTCACTCTCTCCCTCACTCACTCACTATCTCCCTCCCTCACTCACTATCTCCCTCCCTCACTCACTCTCTCCCTCACTCACTCACTCTCTCCCTCACTCACTATCTCCCTCCCTCACTCACTCTCTCCCTCACTCACTATCTACCTCACTCTCTCCCTCACTCAATATCTCCCTTAATTGTCTCTCCCCATCTTTACTCCCCCCCTCATGTCTCCTACTTTGTTTCTTTCCAGGTCCTCACTGCCCTGACCTGATGCTAATTTGATTCCGTTTCCTCCGCGTCTAATTCCGTCTCCTCCGCGTCTAATTCCGTCTCCGGTGTTCACAGGCGACGCCAGAGCTTGTTATGATTCCCACGACGCGATCAATGTTACGCACAGTTACCACGAGGACCACGTAACAGCTGCACGCACGTGTGTGTGTGTGTGTGTGTGTGTGTGACGAATCGATTTAGCTGTTAGCATTTGGGTAATTTTTCCAACAATAAATATAATAACGATAATAACAGCTTTAATAACAATACTACTATTACTACTTACTACTACTACTACTACTGCTACCTTCACCACCACTACTACTTCCTTCACTACTACCTACTGCTACTATTTTTTTTACAACCAATTTACAAAACAGTACAAGGTTTTTTCTTTTTTTTTTTACAAATTCAATTAAAACGTAGAAAAAATAGTAAAATGTAAAAAAAATTTAAATTACGTCGACAACCGTAAAACTATGTCTAAAACGTAAACAAAACTAAATAAAAACGTAAATAAAAATATAAAAACGTAAAAATAAATTATCGAAAAAGGTAAAAAAAAAATAGAACCGTGTAAACATATGTAAATGAACCGACAGCGTTTACGAAAGGTGGTGGTAGTTTGGTGAGTCTCAAGCTGTGACCACTGACCACAAGGTGTATGACTGTCTGGTGGTGTAACAGTAACTAAGGCAGGTAGCAGTGACTGATTGGTACAGGTAACAGTGACTGCTTGGTACAGGTGGCAGTGACTCGTAAAGGAAGCAGTTAATAGTACAGGTAGCAGTGACTAGCCCAGACAACAGTGACCAGCCCTGGCAGTGACTGGCAGCAGGAGAATGCGTGAGAACGTACACGGGGAGGCAGTGCCCAACATATGGTGTGTGTGTGTGTGTGTGTGCGCGCGAGGTTATCAACAAACACAACGGGACACTTAACCTCACAATAAATTACTTGTAAAGACGAACTGCGTTGATAAGTGTAGCGTTAAGTGAGACAGTACCCCGTGAGAGAGAGAGAGAGAGAGAGAGAGAGATAAGTAAATGGAGACTTAAAGAAGAAGGAGGAGGAGGAGGAGGAGGAGGAGGAGTAGAGGAAGTAGAAGAAGAAGGAGGAGGAAGAAAAGGAAGAGGAGAAGGAGGAACGGGTAAAGCGTGAGAGAAAGCTGGTGAGGGTGAGGGAGGGAGGGAGGGCCCGGTGGGTGGGAGAGGGGAAGGGGGGTGAGGGGTTGTGCTGTGGGGAGGGAGAGGGGCGGAGGAGGAAAGAGGGGGGGGATTGAGGGAGTGTAGTGCTGGGTGGAGAGAGGAGGAGGGAGGCACCGTGCCATACAGGCCGGGATTGGTTCATACCTGCTCGTTGAAATCCCCATCAACCCGGCCAGCTGCTAGTGACCTCTCTGTCTCTCTCTCTCTTCTGATAAACTCCAATCGGATATTTTACCTCAAAACCTAACCATTTTTTTTTCGCTTCGATGCTTGAAAAAATAAATGATAGCTTGGTCACAGGTGGAGATAAGATAGATAATATAATAGATGAAATAGATAATAGATAAGAGAGATAGGTATTGACTTTAATTAATTGATGAGACTTTACTAACTATGCCCCAAATATTCCATCAGTCATGTCAGTTAATTTCTGTACCTTTATTTTTTTTTTCACAGGTGTAACAAAACATAATTAAAATCTTGGTAATTTTATCCCAGGTGAGAGAGAGAGAGAGAGAATTATAGAGACACGATTATACAGGTTATAGGTTGTATTACTGACCTGTTGAAGTCGAGGCAACACACGCCACTAAGAACGCCCACAGCGGCACATATATAGTTCTCGTTATTATAAACATATTTTCTGGTTTTTTTGTTTTGTTTTGGTTTTCTGTCACTAATTAGTTTTAATTTTCTTTCACTATTTCACTTTTATTATTTATAAGTATCCAGAACACGTCACTGTTTTTTTATCGACACCAAAAATAATTGGATTTAAAGCCTCCTGAGATAATTTCCTTTTCTTATATCCTCCGACGTTCACTATATAACCGCTTCCACCTCCATTTTGGCGGTTGACTGGTTTATCTTACGGACTCAAGCTCAAGTGTGTGTGTGTGACGGAGCTGCACCGACCTCATGCCATCAGAGTCGGGACCTTTCTGAGGCACACCTTCACGCTCGCCAAGAAACTGGGTCTCGGAGGAGCGGCAACAATCCGAGACGTCTTACCGTCTCCTGCTCATGGAATCCCGAACTGATGACGACGCTTGGCCGGCCAGAGTCTCGGATGGTTACGAAACGTAGGAGGGAAACGAATATGCCGACCCACTCCTTGATTTTAGTGAAGTCCAAAGCTTTTGAAATTCCACCCTAATCCAAGGCTCAATATAACGATTATATATCTCTAATTAAAGAATATATTCCTGGTCTCATATCCCAAGCAGTGAGGCGAGGTGAGGAGATCGGAGTTACTGAGATAAATGGTGAGTTGAAACAGTACCGCGCGATGGATGGTCCAGGCGGGTCCAGCGGGAATGGGAAGGAGAGGAGGATCGTGTGGTTAACGTGGGAAAGGAATTTACATGAGAAAGTTGACGTTAGTGCTGTGTGTGTGTGTGTGTGTGTGTGTGTGTGTGTGTGTGTGTGTGTGTGTGTGTGTGTGTGTGTGTGTGTGTGTGTGTGTGTGTGTGTGTGTGTGTGTGTGTGTGTGTCAGCCACTGTGGAAACGTTCAACAAGTCTCTTCCCCTATTAATTATTATCTTACGTATTACGCTATTGGTTAGGATAGGTTATGGTTAGGTTAGGTTTAATTAGGTTAAATTAGGTTAAGCTAGATAGATAGATAGATAGATAGATAGATAGATAGATAGATAACAGTAATAAATAAAGACTACAAAGAGAAAGATATCACAGCTCATATCAGGTACACAATCAACCAGATCACCTGAAGAATAACCACCCTAACCTAACCTAACCTAACCTAACCTAACCTAACCATAACCTAACCTAACCTAAACCAAACCAAACAACTCCCAAGGTAACGTTAGGGTGTTTAATCTTCAAGTGACAAAAAAACTGGGGTGGCAAAGCTTCAGGTGATCAAATTAACCTGTTAAGCAAGATTCCCTCAGGTAGCTTCCAGGTGAGTGAGTGAATGCGTGTCTGAAATGTTTACCTGAGATAATGTGTTGTAATTTGTGAGAATCAGAGAATGACGGAAGATCAAGGTTGTGTGTGTGTGTGTGTGTGTGTGTGTGTGTGTGTGTGTGTGTGTGTGTGTGTGTGTGTGTGTGTGTGTGTGTGTTGAGATGGGATTGATGATTATAAGGATGACTCTCTCTTCCTCTTTCTTTTCCACCCCCTCCCTCCTTTCTCCCTTACACCTCTCTCTCCTCCTCACATACACACTCTCTACCCTTCCTCACGTTCCTCCTTCACCCCTACCCCCCACCCCCTCCCCCCAAACACCCTAATCACCTTTTCTCTCACCCCTTGACACTCCACGCCTACTCTCTCACCTCACCCACCCCCCCACAGTAGGGGCACGTCACCTCAGGGAACACCCCCCCTTACACCCTCTGGATAAGTCACACCTTGCCACATTCTTATTAACCAACACACACACACACACACACACACACACACACACACACACACACTGTTTCCTCGCCAGGGGCAACAAAGTGCTCAACCAACCCGAGCTTAATTAGTGTTTGGTATGAATGACCTACTTACGATGGTTAAACACTCCACTAACGACCATTCCATCAGTAACGACCGTGTATGATGTTTATATTGGAGTATGTCTTATATACCATGAAATATACTAACTAAAATATATTTCAAAATATACTGAATATCCTTCTAATTATACTGAATATACTTCTAAATATACTGAATATACTTCTAAATATACTAACTACAAACATACACCGTAATTAAATATATAGTTAATTATGAAAAAAATTAATTAAAATACGAAAAATTATCTAGATTTAACAATTATTAATCCAAAATCAAAATAAGATTACGATAATAAATTCTAGACTTAAATATAATCAAATAATTCACAATTAATAATAATTATTTTTTTTTTTAAAAGAGGTGAAAGTACTATGTTGGTGTGGTGGTTGTGTCGTTATAGCCCGGAGGTGTGTAAGACAATAGAGTACATCGATTCATTGTGACACTAACAGATGGCGCCCCAGGCTCTCTCTATACATACATACATAAAGGCGTACACATATACATACACACACACATATATACGTAAATACAGACACATAAGACGGCCGTACTGATGAAGAGTCACACTACTGATTAATGAAGACAATAACAAAAATAATAATAATAATAATAATAATAATAATAATAATAATAATAATAATAATAATAATAATAATAATAAATAAAAATAAATAAATAAAAATAAAAATAAATAAATAAAAATAAAATAATAATAAAAATTCAAATAATATAATAATGAAATAAATAAAATAAAATACATCTCCTTATAGTTCCTCTTCTGGATCTCAATTGGTGTGAAAAAAATCGCCTCCACTAACGTTTATCCATACAGTTTTAAGTCAAGGTTATGCTGGGTCCTGATCGGTGTGAATCTTTGCTCTTATAAAGGTAAACAAACATCATAATATAACTTAGAAAAAATATCATAGCTAACCTCTCTCTACACCTCACGTACACAAAATAACACAACACCACATAAGGCAGGAGACATAGTTATGGGTGTATATCATCTCGACAGATCATCACTACAAGACAAAGCAACAATATTCACAGGTTAAATTCTCTACATATCATTCAGGAGTCGAACCACGGTCTCTAAGGGTTGGGTCTTGAACCCTTGTCCACAGAGCTTGAAGAGGGGGAGGGGTGGGGAGGGGGGAGGAGGGGAGGGGTGGGGAAGGGGAGGGGGAGAGGGGAGAGGGGGAGGGAAGGGGGCCATTATTGTTTTTGCTGTTGTTTCTATTATTTTCCATATATGTTTGATGATGATGATGGAGAATGATGATGATGATGATATGATGATGATGATGATGATGATGATGATGAGGATGATAATGATGATGATGATAATAATAACAGAAAGATCCATAGCAACACCAACAACCACCACCACCACAACATCAACCCCCCCTTGACCAGGTATCGTCATTACCACAAACAGCTGATCAGACCAAAACAAGGAGGAACAGGAAGGCCTAACAGCTGGTTCAATGTCAACAAAAGATGGTCCAGTAATCTCCCCTCACCATCTGTGTGTGTATCTTGCGCAACACATCTAAGAGTAACTGTTGCTGTCTGTCTGTCTGTCTGTCTCTCTGCCTGTCTGTCTGTCTGTCTCTGTCTGTTACAACATAGGGTGTGTGTAACGTTCAGCATTCCCCCCCCAAGTCACCTGGTGGAGGAGTGTTGAGAGAGGAGAGAGAGAGAGAGAGAGAGAGAGAGAGAGAGAACACAAGAAGTTAACCCGAGTCATCAACAACAATCGCGATATGAAGCATGCAGACAGGTTGAACGTGAGGGAGGGGGGGTAGAGAGGAAAGGAGGGAAGGAGGGAAGGAGGGAAGGAGGGAAGATGATAGGTAGGTAGGTAGGTAGGCAGGTAGGTAGGTAGGCAGGCAGGTAATAGGTAGGTCACTGGGTTGGCTGGTATAAGCGCCTCGACTCCCAGAGAAAGTTGGGTCAAACCGGAATATTCTTGTATATATATATATATATATACCCCTACCTCCTCTTCCTCCTCCTCCTCTTCTTCCTCTACCTCCTCTTCCTCCTCCTCCTCCTCTTCTTCCTCTACTTCCTCTTCTTCTTCCTCTTCTTCCTCTACTTCCTCTTCTTCCTCCTCTTCTTCTTCCTCTTCTTCCTCCTCTTCTGTTTCTTCTTCCTTTCCTTCCTCTACCTCTTCCTCCCCCTCCTCTTCCTCTTGTGGCCCCTTCCTCTATAACTCACTAGATAACATAACTACCTCGTGTTATAGAAGGATTAGATGGCGTATAATTTATGATAAAAGTTATAGAAGCGTTAGTTTGTTTTTTTAAGAATTTTTCCCACCATTTTGATGTTTGGTGTCGGGCAGCGCCATGTTGGTATGTCAGGTTACCAAGTTGTTAATTTTTTAAACATTATTTTTTTTTCGTCTATAATGAATAAAAACTTAAATTAATGATAGATTTAAAGGGAGTATTTATCTCATGTTGATTTAAATTGTATATAGATTAGTTTTGGTGTTTATTATGACAGTGATTAAATCATTGTTGAATTAAAGGAATTGGAAACTTTGGTATGGTAAGCGAGATGACAGACAGACAGACAGACAGATAGACAGACAGGCAGACAGATGAAAGACAATATTTGAATTATCTGTTTTTGTTTCGAGTTTTATGTCGAGTTTTTGTGTCGAGTTTCAATTGCCTAGTTTTATTTGTCGAGTTTTGTGTCGAGTTTCTATTATCGAGTTTTATTTGTCGAGTTTCACCTGTGTAAACAATTAACATCTGGCTACACTGCTCCTTTACCTGGATGAGCCGAAAAAATTAGAGTAAATGTTGAATGTTTTGCAAATGACGATGACGAAAAGAGGATGGAGAAAGAATTGGTGTGTTGAGGGTAGAGAGAGAGAGAGAGAGAGAGGACACACACCTCTCTCTCTCTCTCTCTCTCTCTCTCTCTCTCTCCCCAGCACGATTAGCGGCCACTCTCTCCCCAGCTATGTCATTCTAGAGAGTGGGTGCTAGGAACAGGTTTTTTGCTGCTAGGAACGGGACCGATTGATGCTAGGAACGCCTTGGCATGTGCTAGGTGTGAGTTTCTAGAGCTAGGAGTGGCTAGGATGATGCTAGGAACGTTTAATAATGTGCTAGGACTTGATTTCTAGAGCTAGGGTG